ATTCCAAGCTGAATTGCTCTCGCTCTGGGATGATCTTCTCACCAAGATCTGTGGAGCTCTTTCTTGCACAGCTGTCAGGCATTCCCAAATGGCTTTCACAGTAAAATCCCCCGTCTTCTCCACCAGTCACTTACAGAGACATGCTGTTATAGTGAGCAGACTAGTGAGGCTTGAGTTCCTTTCAAGGATGAATTTGGGTCTATGGAGGCCTGCCAGTGTTTTATGTACATGTATTCTAAGTTAGTTATAACTTTACTTATCTGTGCATCTGGTTTTGTAACAGGAAATGAGCAGGTTGTGTTAGGGTAAAATTTCTACCAATTTTAAGTAAGTATTTGGAACATAATATCATGTATATTCTTATGATAATTTAAGAGGTAAAAACTTAATATATTTTTCCTATAGCTTATTACTAATTTTAAATTTTTTAAGAGTTGGGTATGGTGGCACCTGCTTGTAATTCTAGCACTTGAGACATAGAGCAGAGGATCAGGTGTTCAAGATCACCCTGGACTGCTTAGTGAAAACAAAGCCAGGCTGGGCAGCATGAGGCTACCACAATAAAAAAACAAAATGAAGAGTTGAAATGGGAAATCCCCATTGCTTTTTCTGCTTCAATTTAGGATTGTTTGGCCAAGTTTGATGTGACTAGCATCATGTTGCTTAATGTTTCCTAAGTCCTCTGTTCATCTTTAAGTTACTCTTTTTATAAAATTTGGCATAAATTCTTAATATTAGATGAACATGAATCATAGAGTTTTTCCCAATTTTATGTTGTAGAATAATAAAATCACCAGAACTTTATTGAATTCATTAGATTTACTATAAGGTATTACGTTAACATACAAAGGGTCAGTATTGTAGGCAGAGTTTTCCTGTTCTAGCAGCTGCTCTCAAATAACCACTCAGAGTCTTACTATTAATTATAAATGCTCAGCCAGTAGCTCAGGTTTGTTACTACCTAACTCTTACATTTAAATTAACCCATGTTTCTTACCTATGCTTTGCCACATAGCTTGGTACCTTTTCTGAGTACAGCATGCCCATCTTTTTCTCTCTGTGTCTGCTGGAGATACTCGAGACTCTGCCCCCCTTCTTGCCAGCATTCTGTCTGTGTCAGGCTGTCTCACCCAATCTCTTCCTGCCCAGCTTTTGGTTAATCAGCTTTTTATTAATAATGAAAGCAATACATATCTACAGTGTAAAAGATTGTTCCACAGCACCTCCCCATTTTGTGAAACATTGTATGTGCTTGTTTTCCCACCCCTGGAATTTCCTCAGACTTGACTTTGGTATCCTCCTCTTTCAAGCTAATTAGGAATTAGCTTATCACATTAGATTGGGGTAGAGCTTCCACTGATGCTATCAGAATGAGACACCACCAGTGTTTGACTAGGAACTAAGGAACTTCCATCGTGGTGTGTGCTTGCTAGCCTAGTTTAGGTCATGGCACACCCTTCTTACAAAAGGAAGTTGCCTTGCAAGGTTACTTTCACTTGTTGATATGTTTCTTTGTGTGACACTAAGACTGTTCTTTTATAGTAGTAGTGGAAATCATGATTAATATAACATTTTGTCTTTTTCCTTTGAACACTATTTGTAACTTTAAAAAACATAGCTATAATTATTCATTGATTAGAGTTTAGATTTTTGAAGCTTGTTTTTGGTGGCTTTATATTGCCCTTGACAGAGTCAAATTATTATGAACAGTGATATTATCAGCCTTTCTCAAAGTTTTCTGTGTGTGCCTTTAGTCTGAGCACTCTGGAGACAGAGGAGGGCCGACCTCTGAGTTCAACGACAGCTTTGTCTACAGAGGGAGTTCCAGGACAGACAGAAATACATAGAGAAACTTTGTCTCAAAAAAAAAAAAGAAAGAAAGGAAGGAAGGAAGGAAGAAAAGAAAAGAAAGAAAGAAAGAAAGAAAGGCAGAACCTAAAGTCTCTAAAGTTTGTTCTCTACTTACATTTGTAAACCTTTGACCCTGCCAAATTAAAAAGGATTGTTTTTATAAGCTTAGATGTTTAGAAGAGACAAAATTTAGGCATTAGAAAATGTGATTGCTTCTGATTTAGTAGATTCTTGACTTAAAGATCAATTAAAAACATGCAGAAATTTGCATCTTAACCAAATTTGCAAATTGGAATCTGAGGAATTTACCTCTAACCTAGATGCTCTGAAAGGTGGTTTAGAGTGTCTATGAAAATCTAGCAGATAAATGGAGGAATGTGTTATGCTTAAATAGTGGGTCTGAGTCATATTGTACAACTAGCTCTGCTTTGCCTTCTGGAACATTTTCAGTGTTCCTCAGAGAAAATTTTGGCATAAGTGTGACATGTTTCCCATAGGTTCATGTGTTTGAGCATTTGGTTTCTGGATTGGTGGCTGTTTTGGGAGGTTATGGAACCTTTGGGACTTGGCACGTAAGTGGTAAACTAGTCCTCTGGGAGTGGCCTTTAAGGGTTACTCTTCTTTTTGATCTCCTGAGGTGTGACCCACCACAAGCTCCCACCTTGACACGTGTGTGTGTGTGTGTGTGTGTGTGTGTGTGCGCGCGCGTGCGCGTGGTACTGGCCCAGCTTCTTAAGTAGGGAGCCAAAGTAACCCTCTCCTCTCTGTCTTATTTTGTGAGGTTTGTTGTAACCAAATCTACCTCTTCCACCATAAGCCTCCATCTAGGTGGGAAGTTGCTTAAGACAGGGGTCCCTGAAACATCTCATCCTTCTGGAAAGGTTCTTTAAGCTCAGGGAGTAACAACTCAAAGGCCTTGTGAAGTTCCCAAAACTGATAAGTTAGACTTTTCCTTCCCCAAATGTGTATAAGAAGTAAGGCAGGACGATTTCAGAGCAGCCACACCTTTGGCAGAGATGGAACTCAGCTGAGCTGCCTGAACAACCAGACAAGCTATCCAAGAAAGATGCCGTCTAACCTGTTTCTATCTTCAAGCTGCAGTGTGCCCAGGGCTCCAGCTTTGTGAGCTCCAACCCATGCTGGAATGGGCTTTGGTGATACAGTTGTCTTTGAGCCATTTCTGCTCCTGTTAGTAACCCTTCAACCCATACTCCAATGAGTAACCCAATAAAACTCATTGGTTCTCATTAAGTTGGACTTTGGTGGTATCCTTACTTTAGCCTGTCATTGATTTCCTATATGGGATGAGTAGACATTTGTTCATGTCTCCCCTGCAGTAGTGTGACACAGCAGCATTGAAAATGCAACTAAAAATTATTTAAAATGAGTACTTATGTTGACCTGTAATAGTCAAAATGTAAATAAGATCAATAAATCAAAGTGGTTAACATTTCCATTTTTTTTCCCTCTCACAAACTCATATTCCTATAAATTATACTCTAGGCTTTATTTCTAAACTTAATATCTCTTGAAAAATATGGGCTACTCATGTCCTTACTGGGATGTCCCTTCTGGAACTTTCCTTCCCATCCTCACTGTGTTAGATGCTGCTCCCTCCGTCCCCCTCATGCCTCATCCTCTCAGGCAACCGCTTCTTTCTGCCATGGTCTTCTTGAGCATAAGGACTGTCTTTTACACGCCGTGATTTCTAAAAATATTTGACCTCTAACACCTTTCTCTTGTCAGAGAAAACATGCAGGTCTCTGTCTGTAGCTGTGAAATGAGTTCTTTGGCTTTTCTCAGCTTTCCAATTGTAGTATGACAGTGACTCAGTTTGGGACTACACCCCTGTTTCTCTGCCTTTGGGCAGGACTTGGAATTAGTTTATCAAGACTCTGCCCATGAATAGTTTTCAAAGGGATATTAATATTTTTGTTTTTATTGTGTGCGTATATAATTTATGTATGTGTTTATATTCTATATATGTACACACAATACTGTATATATAGTGTGTGCACACACATACTCACATGAGTGTTTTTCCCTGTATGTGTGTCTCTGCCATGTGCATCCAGCACAGAAGGACACCAGAAGAAGGTGTTAGATCCCCTAGGACTAGAGCTACCATGATTGTCAGCTGCCATGCAGGTGCTGGGAATTGAACCTGGGTTTTTTGGAACAGCAACCAGTGCTCTTATATTTCAAAGCATCTCAAACCTGTGGTCTTCAATATTTTGTATGAATGATTTGACTAAATGCTTTTCATGTTCCAGTGAAGTATAAAGGCTTGTGATCTTCAGACAGACTAGTGAAAGACTAGTCAACTAGCAAGAAGTGAGTGCCCCACTCCCCACCATTGACTGAGGAATTGAGTGAGGAATTGTAGTATTTTTTATGCAGAGGTTTATGTCATGATGTACCAGAGGGCAAAGAGATCTTAAAAATGACTTATGAGTTATAAATACTAAATTACAGTGACATGGTATATGCTGTTTATTTGCTGGGCACATGCCTTTAGTACCAGTGCTTAGGAGGAAAAGGCAGGCACATCTCTGTGAGTTTGAGGCCAGCCTGGTCTGCAGAGGGAGTTCCTGGGAAGCCAGAGAGACACAGTGGGATCCTTTCTCAAACAAACAAACAAACAAACAAACAAACAAGGTTCATTTGTGGTATATACCTGGGTCACTGGATTTAACATCAGATGAATTGGGATAGTCCATAGCCACCATTCTAGTAATAAGTATTTAACGAATTTTGAACATGCATGTCTTGGGAAATATTTGAAATATACTTATTAAAGTGTGCTTTAATGTTGATGATTCATTTAATTTTGCTGAAATAAAGTTTAATAAGAAATACCACAGAAATACAAAGCAATCTCAATAGCTTAAACTTTTTTTTTTTTTTTTTTCGTGTATGTGTGTGTTTGGTGTGTACATACTAGTGTAGGTATGCATGTGGAGGACAGGAGAGGAAGTTGGATCCCTTGGGGTTGCAGTTACAGGCAGTTGCAAGCCTACTAATACATATGCTGGATCCTCTGTAAGAGCTGCATGTGTTCTTAACTACCAAGCAATTTTAAAATTTTGTCTTTTTTGGGCAGTAATTTGGATTTGACATTTGTTTCTTTTTATGTTGTATATTTTCAGCTCATTTGGAGACCAGTTTTGAAGAGGTAGAAAGCCACCTGCTGCATCTGGAGGATTTGTGTGGGCAATGTGAATTAGAGAGACACAAACATGCACAATCCCAACACCTGGAAAACTATAAGAAAAGTAAGAGGTGAGTTAGAAACTTGGGCCATGACAGTGTAAACTCAGTGTTCCATATGGATTTACATGCTGTTCTTAAAAAAAAAATTTGCATTGTGTTGTGTGTGTGAGAGAGAGAGAGAGGGAGGGAGGGACAGAAGGAGAAGAAGAAGGAGGAGGAGGAGGAGGAGAGAGAGAGAGATATATGATTCTCTATCCTATCACCTAGGTCTTAGGGAATCAAGCTCAGGTTATCAGGCAAATGCTTTTACCCATTCAGCCATCATCTCCCTTCCCCCACGCTATTCTTCTTATGTTTGCATTGGTAAAGATAAAGGGTTCAGTCTGTAGAATTCATTAATAAGCCTTCCAATATTTGCCTGTTTAATTTTTAAGTCACAGTATGTTGCCACTTAGTGATGAGTTGCCAGAAGCTAAGGGCAGGATAAAGCATGAATGCTCTACTCTGAAGGGAGAAGGGGCCAGAGGGCAACATTGCCCACAGATTTAGTTCTGGCCCGCTGTGTTGCAGTGGCAGGTGACTGAGTAGCTCACTCTTTCCCCTGTAATAGCACAATCAGAGTGGAGGGAATGTGAGCCCAGGCTTTGGAAAAGGGCTCGATAGGCTCGACTCTTAACTGTCATCACGTACTAGGTGCAGGATTGCAAATTCATCTCTTTAGCCTCAATGACACTGGTTTCTAGTGGGGATGATAATACATCAATCTTGACAACTCTAACTGCAAGGTTGGGCAGTGGTGACACACTCTTTATATCCTAGCACTTGGGAAGCAGAGGCAGGTGGATCTCAGTGATTTCGAGGCTAGCCTGGACTGTTACACAGAGAAACTCTGTCTCACTCACTGTCAAACAAAAAAACAAAACGAAGAAGAGGAGGAAGGGGAAGGGAAGGGAGGGGAGGCAGAGAGAGACATCTGTCTTGAGGAAGTGGTGGGTTCTCACATTGCTCTTAAAGTTTTCTTGAATGTTGAGAGTGGCTAAAGCTACCCGTTCACCCATGTATCTGTATGGATGTGTCTCAAGTGTTGATCAGCTTTAAGAGTTTAGTATTGAAATTCCTGGACTGTTCCAAGTTCACCACAGTGGTGTTGCCAGTCAGCTCCCCAGTGCTAATGTGCATGTCTGAGGGTCTGTAGAACAGGGTGTGCAGACTGTCCGTGAAAAGGGGCTTAGGGAGACATATGTCTTACTGTTCACATACTACATGCATTAATTCCATGTGGAAGTAGCTTTTATAAACTTCATTTGGCCTTTGAAGGGCATCAGAGTATGGGTGATAGCATTGAGAATGTTGTCTAACTCATCAGAATGTCATAAGTAGATAGCCATATATGACTTAGGGGATTTCCAGACTGATATGTGACAGGAAGGTACAAGAGTGAGAAGCAGATAGGCTAGTGTTTGATTTAACAATTGATAGTAGGTAAATACTCTGGTGGGAAGAAGTATGTTCGTATGGTATAACCAGAGTTTCAAGAAATATGGTAGAAAGCTTTGCAACTTTGAAATTTTAGTTTGGATACTAGTTGTATGACTTCAGAGAATGATCTTTTCATTAATAAAATGGGCTAATATTAGTGTCTTTCAGGATTATTTTAGTATTGTATTAGCCAAGTGCTGGAATAGTATCTGGCACCTGGTAAGTGTCCTGATGGTGTTAGCTGGCACTGGCTTAGAGTGTGCGGGTGAGTTTTATTTATTTTTTGTCAAGTTGACACAAGCTAGGGTCATCTCAGAAGAAGGAACCTCAATTGGGAAAATGTAAACATCAGATTGGCCTATGCACAAGACTGTGGGGCATCTTCCTGATTAATGAGTGCTGGTTGGTGCCACTACTGGGCAGGTGATCCTAGGGTATATAAGAAGGCAGGCAGAGGCAGGCATAGGGGAACAAGCCAGGTTCCTCCATGACCACTGTTTTAGTTCCTGCCTGACTTCTCTTCACAATAGACTACAAGCCCAGGTAAACTCTTTCCTCCCCAGCTTGCTTTTGGTCATTATGAGTTATTTGTTTATTTAACTTTTTACTGATTCTTTGTGGATTTCACATCGTGCATCTGGATCCTATTTATCTCCCTGTCTCTTCATATCTGCCCACTGCCCTTGTAACTTACCCACACCCCAAGATAAAATAAAATTTAAAAGAAAGAAAAATCTCAAGTGTGGCCCAGTGTACACAGTGTACCCTTTAGTCCACACTATTTACTTGCAAGTGTTCATTGCAATGGGTCTGACTCCTGTTTTGTGCTATACTATTGACACTGGGCCTTCACTAGGACTCTTCTTGGATGTCCTGTTGAAGCCCTGTGCTATGGAGATCCTACAGCTTTGGGTCTGTTCTTCACATGCTCCAGCAGATTATAGATGGGGTAGATGTTGGGCTGGTCAGCTCATAGCCTTGGTTCTGGGCATAGGTGGTTGCTGGGTTGGTCATCTAGCCAGCTCTGCCCCATCATCACCAGCAGAATGAGCTCTCCAGCACCACCTGGATTAGCTCACCCTATCCAGTAAGCAGCAAGGGGTGGGGCTGGTTCTGCTCTCATGCCTCAGAGCCAGCTCACTCACACCTACACCACCAGGGTCAGCTCTACTGTGTTGCCAAGGTGAGGGGCAGGGGCCACTCTCCTGAGTGCTATAGCTGGTTAAAGGCAGGGCCAGTGCTCTTCACTCTCATGACCTCAGGGTCAGCTCTCCCACCTGCCACAGGCTGTAAGGAGATGGTGCCTCTCTCCCTCACCCGTGTACTGCAGATGAGGGGTGGTGCTAGATCTCTCAGGCAAAATGATTCACCTGCCTCCCCTGCTCCCCAACAGGGCAGCGCTACTGCTACTGTCCTGCCCAGGCAAGGTGCAGGGCCTGCTGGAGAGGGGCAGGGTCCACTGTAGACTGCCACTCTCTTCCTTTCCACCTCAATGCAGATGAGGGGGGTGGAGCCAGCTTCTCCTGGCCCTCAGGCCTTCAGGGCTGTCTCATCCACACCCCACCAACAGGGTCAGCTCTGCTGTGCTGCCCAGGGGTCCTTGTGTTTTTATCCCACCTATATAAGGTGTGCAACTATAAATAGATTGGCATTCCATGTTTTCATTATTACCACTGTTTTTAGCCGCTTGGATACAAGAATTATATGAATATTGTGACTTTGTCCTCTCAATACTGGTTGAAATTTGACTGTTAAAAAAAAGAGAGAGAGATGAAACCCTTTCAGTCTTGAACAAGTTAAATGATTAGATAGAAAAGGAAGCCTGCCACCTGGAGCTGTGAAATGTGACTCATCATGCTCCTTACCAGTGACCAAGATAACGTTTACTTAATGCATAGTGATTTATGCCATGAAATGAAAGTGGAAAAGTCTGATGTACTGAGTCATTCTTAATGTCTTTCATGGTGTTGAAATGTCAGAGAGTGTCTCTTTTTAGAGATAAAGCTTAGTCAAAAACCTCTAACTCCTTCCTAGTTTGTTAATTCCTGTGTCCTTGGGCACCAGCCATTTACTTTAGACTTTGATCTCATGTAAAGTTTGGCTTAGTCTAAAATCTTATTGACTAGTACTTTCATTTTTATATAAATTTTTATTTAAACTAGAAACAATCTCATTTTACATATCAATCCCAGTTCCCTCTCCCTCCCATCCTCCCATGCCCCCATGACCCCCCCATCCTATCCCCCATCCACTCCCCAGAGAGGGTGAGACCTTCGATGAGAGATCATCAAAGTCTGTTTGATTAGTATTTTAAAGACTTCTAAGAATAACATTGTTAATGAGTTTAGATATGATAGATTTTTAATAATACTGATTACTCTATAATGTTTAAAAAAAAAAAAAAGATGATGTGTGCCAGGCATTGTTTGCTTTAATCCTGTAATTTGGGAGGCAGAAGCAGGCAGATCTCATGGGTTGGAGGACAACCCGGTCTACAGAGCAAGTTCCAGGATGGCCAGGACTCCACAGAGAAACCCTGTCTCAGAAGGAAAGGAAAAGAGAAGAGATGGTGTCTGCTGATTGAAGACACCAGCTCATAATCATAGCCTGAAATGTACAGGCAAACATTGCATAGGCTTTGATAGGCTACATTTAAAAGCTGTGTTTCTCGAGGAAACAATTATATTGGCATGGCAGTAAGCCTAAGAATTGGGTAAAAATTTTAAATTAACCAAGACTTTAGTTATACTCTTCCCCCTTTGTCCCCCTCACCCCCAACCCCACATCACCCCTCACCCCCCCCCCCACTCCCCGAGACAGGGTTACTCTGTAGCTTTGGACCCTGTCCTGAAGCTCACTTTGTAGACCAGGCTGGTTTTGAACTCACAAAGATCAGCCCGCCTCTGCCTCCCGAGTGCCAGGATTAAAGGCATGCACCACCAACATCTGGCTGACTTTGGTTAAACTTTTAAAGACTTCCTCTGTGGGGCAGAAAAAAAAAATATATGTATGTGTGTATGTAGATCTAGATATTTGTTAATACTCAAGACATCTATATACAATATTGAGAAAAGCCAAAGCATTTTAATACTAGCACTTGATATATTATTTAATTGGAGTCATATTTTTTATTCTGAAGTGATTACTACTGATTTAATTTAGTTATAACAGAAATGCAGTTGGGTCAGATTCCGTGGTACATAGTGGAGCTCAGTAAGCAAAGGCAAGAGGATTGGAAGCTCAAGGCCAACTGGGGTATAGGAGCCTCTGTCTCAGATAGGTAAAGTACAATTTGAGTTACTGGGAATGTCTTTAGATACCTAACCTTGATTTTCTTCTCTTTTTCTACCTGTTTAACCTTTTGCAAATCACTAGTATTCTTGGAGGTAATGAGAATTTATGGCAGGGTTATTGAAGAAAAGAGAGTTTTATTTCCAAGAGCCAAGTAAGAGCAAACTTGCTTAACTTAAAAAAAAAAAGGAAGTTCTGAATTCTAGTTACCTTGCATCTTTAAATGTGAGCAGGAGAAATCCTATGAGACTTTCATGTTTTATCTGCTTATACAAAATGTAGCCTTCCTGAAACTTGCA